TGGCTTGAATAATGGCCTGTATGTCTATAGCCTATGTAGCTTTATGAAAAATCCGCAGGCTGTCATCATACGTAAATCTAACTGAACCAGATGTGTCCACTCCACTACATATGCCAAGTCATTCATGAATTGCAGTCGCGATTCGCTGTATCGCCATCGAGTACGACTATGCGAATTGAATTACAAATTTTATTTCACTTCCGATTGCGACTATATAGTCAATTCAGAGGCGTGTGACTTGTTATATGGTACCTATTTTACTCGTCACCTGACAGTTGCAGTATCACTAGCACTTACCTTTCATACTGCGTTTCCGAGTTGTGCCGTAACAGTTTTGCAAATACCACGTACCAAATGCATATTTCTACGTTTATGGCGTCATCCACCGTGGCGAGCAATAACTCACCCTTCAATCAACATATCTCAGACCTCTCGAATAGTACATGCATGTCGGTTATGTCACTGTAAATTGCACGATTACATCCCTATTGTTGGGGCTTTCTTCCATACAGATGCATCAACATCAACACTGCCTTCAACGGAAATGAAATTCAGAATCCTGCCACGAGACCTCTGAAACTGTACCGGCGGCACACCTACACAACATCGGTAAATACCTAGTGTGACTCCACCTGGAACGGTGTCCTGACGATTCTCCTGTATTGTTTGCTTTGTGAACCTGTTAATCCAGTGTAGCAAATTATGTGCAGTGCGGTTAGTCCGTGTTTTGCTCATTATAAGGAACGTGCTCGACTACAACTATGTCCTCGCTGACGGTCGCTGTATGCATTCTCACATTGGAGAGCTAGCTGTCCCGTACGACACGTGTCGATTTTAATTGACTCGACACGACGTGATTACAAATCTGATCGGTCTGAGGGAGGGGGCAAGCATAATTAAAAATTGCACTTGTACTGTATTTGGTCTTTGTATTAGAATTATGCTAAGTGCACGACACCATGCAACCGGATTTGATACGTTGCGGAAATGATGAAATCTACATTGTGTCTATTTAATGGTGAGATTGGCCGCTGCAATTCAAATTCGGATGCACTATTTCTCAATCTCGCATTTTACTTACTTTCTTTGCTTTATCATTCAGACTAGGATTTGAGCAAAGGCCTGGGTTTCCTTTGCTGCACATAGACGTTGTAGCTCCTTTTTCCCCGTGATGCCAGCTCCGGCTGGAGTACGAGTAATCATAGGAAATATCGGGTTACTTACGTATCTGTGCACGTAGACCGTAGGCCGAAGTAAGTCCTATGCTGCTTGTCTCCAGTTTCTTGAGCGTCTCACACTTTCTTGAAACTAAAAGAGACTTACTCTGGATCGACCCCAACTTCCGAATAACTAGCTCAGTAGCATATTATTACTGCTGAACTAGCATGCTACTGAGTTAAACATTAAATTTTCGGACTAAAAGACTTCTGGTATTCGGTAAATTACGTATAGTGTTTTCGGAAAAGTTTCTAGGTATTCCAAGTCCTGTCTATTGACAGTACACGCAAAAAAATCTCTTACATCCAATGTAAGGTAGGATTTCTTACATCCTTTGCATATGTTGCATACTGCAGCATACAACCCAAGTAACAATTCTGTGTTTTAAAATTAAATTTAAAGTAGTTCTCAATCCCACCTTAAAACTGTTCTAAAAATCAATCATAAACTTCATTAGCAATTTTTTATTAATTTCTTGATAAAATACTCTATAAACCTGTTCTATCATTATAAAAGCAATCATAAAACCATTTGGTTTTAAAGCAGAGTAAAATGCATATATTGTTGCCTTTTAGGCTTTTAAAAGTTTATCATAAAATCTCCTCTGTTTACAAATTGAACTTTAAGGATGGATCCTCACAGTGCATAAAAACCAAATTTATGACAAGGATATCTCGAAGGATAAACGAAGTTGGAGAAAGAATTCAAGTGATGCTAACGACCGAAGCGAAGTCGATTTCAGTAAAATTTAGTTCTTTAGAAGAACCAGCACGTCCGGAGGAACGGTTACCATCAACGACTGAGCATCTGGTGGAGAAAAGTGAAGTGAGCGTGGTTCTCAAATTCATAAAACAGTCTGAAAACAGACCAGCCTTCTCCAGACCTTGCGAATAGATAAAGATCGGAATAACTTGCATCAGTACCGACAGAAAACCACTGAAACTGTCAGTAAGCGGACACTAGTTGACTAGATTTTATTCGGTGAAAGGGTCATCACTTGGAAAAAAAAATCATTCAACCGTACATTCCTGCATCGTTTGATGGTGCACTTCCAGAACCATCCAGAAAAGGGGATCTTTTCGGGAATGATCGAGGTTACAGCTGTGCGAAATGCGAAATGTTGTGAACACTTTCTGAGTAACTGCTTCCAAGCCATCGGGAGAGAATCGCCTGGAAGAACGCTGAATCGCACAGCGCAACTATCGAAAGATAAACAAACTTTGACGTTTAACATTTTGTAGGCAAGATTACCACCATAAATGCTGCCATAAATCTGAACGGGTTAGGATCAAGCAAAATGGCTTTAGATAAATACAATTCAGTCTACAAGTTTTCTTCATAAAAGCCATTTCAAAACCTTATGAATTTGTTAAGGTTATCTTGAAAGCAGAATAACTTTTTCACAAATGGCCCATGAAAATCAACTTTCATGCCTCCGCCATATTACAATTATTTTGTTCGTTTTTTACAATCTTCGATTTTCAATCTTTATTTCCTTGGATATAGCTTTATTTTAGTTAATTAAGCAATGAGAAAATATTTAGAATGCAAAAATCTTGAGAAATAAAAATTTCGGCTAAGCTTAATGATCGATCTGAAGAATATATTTTTTTTTCTTAATGTTAAATAATTAGTAAAATCGATGTTTTCCGTGGGCGGACTCAAGTTTTTCAATGTTTTCACGTACATTTCACATCAAATTTTATATGGCACCTAAAACTAGGCAACTTCATGAGAACTACACTGGAGTCGCTTTTTACGCGGTTTTTTTACACGGTTTTTTTTACGTGGTTTTTTTGTTACGTGGATTTCGGAATTTGCACGGTTTTTTTTACGCGGATTTCGGAATTTACGCGGTTTTTTTTTACGCGGATTTTGGTTTTTTTTACGCGGATTTCAGAATTTACGAGGTTTATCGTTATACACTAGAGTCGCGTTTTACGCGGTTTTTTTTACGCGGATTCCGGAATTAACACGTTTTTTTTACGCGGGACGTATCACCCGCGTAAAAAGCGACTCCAGTGTATTTTATAATTTTGGAAATTCGGCAGGATTTTTATACGATCAGTTTTTATTTTAATTATTTTGATAAGATTGGATGGTATTTATGAATCCTTTTTTATCTTGATTGTTGTTTTTCTAGTGAACTTAGCAAGCTAGGGTAAATGGCTCAGATAATGGTTTTAATTGTTGCCAAATAGCTTTTATTGTACAATCATTTTGCAGTAAATCAATCTTGAAGAGCATCGAAAATGTACCCTTCAGAACGTTATCCAGAGTGGGCCAACTAGACAGATTCTAGACAGGTTAATGTTGTTTTATAGTAGCTTTGTTGTATTTCATAAAACTTAAAATGTTACTTGGGAACGAACTGCTTCCACAATGCATATTTTTGTATAAAACCTGGAAAATCAGGAATGCTTTGAAAATACAACGTACGTTGAAAATACTATTTTTAAAATAATGCTATTGAAATCAAATTGATATACCAATATCAAGAAAACCTCGTTCAGCTGAGTTTCTGAAATTTATGCAAAGTACCATAATCTTTCTGATTTGCATTGCTAAAATCATGAAATAATTTGGAAAAGCATTGGCACAATTCAAAAGCATTGGCACAATCAAATGTACAATGTGCAGAATTCCAAAAATTGAGATAAATTTTAAGTGAAACAAGATCGACGGAAAACAAATCAAGGAAAAAAAAAAGCAGCCCCATCTACCAAAGCTGGCTCTTCAAGTACTATTTTTTCGACCACACTCACTACCGGTAGTGAATTTGTTTACAGCTGTAATTACCTTTTTTATGTTTTTGCATATTGGGATTTGAACCGAAGCTCACTTTATTATTGTATCTTCCGTCCTTTGCCACTACTCAACCTGTACTTATTGGTGGAGTTTAAGTTTTCAGTTTTCAAGTGTTTGTTGTTTTTTAATTATTTTGTTTTGTCTTTATTGTTGTTTTATAGGATTTAATCATAGCTATTAAACATACTGTATATTTATTGTATGAGCAAATTTATTTATTCGCTTCAAAAAATTCATTGCATCGGTGTACGTTAAAATGCATCGACAAGACATTTTATGTAACATAACGTGCAGTTTTCAAAAATTCCACTATAAATGTACGATTAAATTAATTGCTAACCATAGAGTTTATATCCCGCTTTCAATTTCACCCATAAACTGTTTTATCCCGGGAGTGCATTCAAAATAAAGCGCCTTGGCAATCTATACCGCCTAGGTACCACAGCCAACAGTTCGATTGGCTCAAATCTAATCGGTTTGCTCCACCTTTATGCTTCACACTCGCTGTTCTCGGAACAGGATTAGGAAGTCGTTTCGCTTTTTAGTCCCCTAACAATCCCACGTGATTTTCTTTTGCGTGTGTCACTGGCACCTTTGAGCGTAATTGGTTTTCAATGTGCAAAAATCGTAGAAATTACGGCGTATTTCTACCATTCTGGCTCCTTTCGTATTCATGTGCGAATTTTGTGATTATGTATTGAAAATTGATTGTGTGTCTAATGACGTTGCGATGGAAATTAAACTTCAATTGATTGGAATACCACGTTGATACATATGGAATGCGTGTGTCATCAAAAACAGAAATAATAAGCCGGTTGATGCTGGAAAACGGAATTTTCCGATATGTTTATCGATATGTCAATGATGATATTTTTACTTATGATAAAATTTTGTTCCTTATCTTCGAAATATTCTTTCATTTAAGAATTAAAGGCAATTATATTTTAACTAATAAAGTTATTCTATCGTTACAGATTCCCTCGATGAATTTTACCATTTAACGTCGTTTCACTTGACCACTCACTGACCACTTGGTTCGACAATTTTAATCGTACCAATTATCCAAACGCCATCATGCCCCAACCGAAGGAGGTGGAAATGAACACGATGCACCGATCCGGATCGGCGAACCGCTTCCAGGTGAATCCAGTCAACCACGACCAGCGAGGAAACGGTGGCGACAGTGGTGGTGGCGTTGGCACCAACGGCAACGCTGATGCCAACACCGACGATGACACCTTTCCGGACGAACTGGTGAAGCGACGCACCTCGAGACTACAGTCGATCCGGTCCAGCTTTCGGGACAAGGAGCGAAAAAACTCACAGACTACACGCTTCAAAATGGAAAACGGTGACGGGTCCGATTCCAACGAAGACGAAGAGGATAATCTGATTGACGACAACAAATATGCCAGGAGTTTTAGGTGGGTGATAAAATTACATACAGTCAGCAGGATCGCTTTCGCTGCCACTATATATACACTTTATAAATTGATCCAATTATCTACTGCGTACCCGAGCAAAGTAAAATAACATCTTGAAAACAAGTCTTGTTATTCCAGATATCATTTAGATAGAAAAAAATTGATGTGCTATTGGTTGCAAATTCCACTTTATCATACATCTAGTTTAAGAGTAGCCCACGAAAAACTATTAGCGGTGTCTGATATTATCTTGGAAGCAAGTCTTGTTATTCCAGATATCATTTTGTTTGCTATTGTTATCGCATAACTAATTTAGTTATAAACCTCGACTAATTTGGTTATCAATTGTTATCATGATAGAATATGAAATGATGCAAGGTTAGTTCAAAACTTGAAATATTATCCGCATGGTCATGTTTCAGTTATCAGCGTAAGACTTCAACACCAAATCGATAAAATTATTTGAAATTTGAATGCAGGTTATCCAGATGTTTCAGCGATAACGATAGTGGAACTGTTTCAACTAAGTTTTTTTTTCGTAATTTTTTAATTGACCGTTACCGGGCAAGTTGAAGTTTTGCACAGTTCTTTGTTATTGCCCAACATGAATCTTTACACATTTGGTTCCTTAGTATTGTACGTGACTAACTATTTAAAAGGGCTTATAGGGTGTCCCAGAATGTCTAAGCACGACTTTGGAACACCCCTGCTTTTTTCAGATGACGTTTAAACAGCTGATTACCGCTGAATCATTGTTTACATTTCGACCAACAGTTTAGTGTATCACAAGTGACGGTTCTTTACATTTCCGTGACAATGCGAAGAATTTCTTCGGTAAAGCACAAACAGATCGTGCACAAATGGTGTACTATCCCCAACATTTATCTGAGTCAATTAGCGAAATTGAAAGATTTAAGCATCAGAGCCGTTCGAAACGCAATTCCGAAGTATGGTGATGAAGCAACTTTCTAGGCCAAGCAAAAATCAGGACGTAAACCGAACCCTGTTGGCCAAAACTTTGGACCGGAAAATCGTGCAAGCTTTAACTCGCAAGAAAAGTGATTCGGTTCGAGACGTGGCTAAATAAGTGGGATCCTCGAAGAGTAACGTCCAGCGGGCCAAGGCAAGGATGGGTCTAAAGACGTATAAGAAACAGAAGAAGCTAAAGCGGAGTGAAAAACAAGCTGCATCCGTCAAACCGAGGGCTCGAAAGCTATACGACCAATTGCTGTGCGGAAAATCGGTGTGCCTGATTATGAACGATGAATTACGATAAATTTGATTACAAAACTCTTCCTGGTGATCCCAGAATTTTGAAAAACGTTTGAAGTCCAGAATATTGTAAACATAAAATAACATATAATAGTATTATACCTAATTTCGTTGTTGAACTTTCACTTTCACTTTCACTTTTACTATTTAACTTTCACTATTTACTTTCACTATTTACTTTCGATTTTTGCTTTCAATATCACTTTAAAAATACTATAACAGATACGTTTTTCGTTTACTACTTGCAAACTTCTTCAGTATCAAGTCATAGCCAAGTATCTGTTATATATTTTTTAAAGTAATAGTGAAAGTAAATAGTGGAAGGGAATTAGTAAAAGAAAAACAAGAATTAAAAGAAAAAACAACGTTATAAAGTATACAAATATTCTACTAAAACGCTCATCAATCAATTTCGATAATAATATTAATAAATAAAATTAAATTCTCGGTTTTCCAAATCCCTTTCAAATGTTCCAGACAAATTATAAAAAAATCTTAGCCAAAATCATCAAAATTATAAGAAAGTATGAAAAATGAATTACTTTTTTCAAATGACCTATTATAGGTTGTTATTCTAATTCTAATTCTAATTGTGTAGTCTTAAGTGCAAAGTATGCATATCAGGAAAATTGTTAAGACGATAGAGAAGTTCTGAGAACTTCTTGATAATTGAGGAAACTTCATGAATAAACGAAAAACTCATTCAAGTGCCAGAAATTCAGAGAAGTTTAGAAATTTTAAGGGAAGATCCATGTTGAAGTTTCAAAAACTGTTGGAAAAATAACTTCAAGGCCGTTCAATTTACATCAGGAACTTTTAAAAAGATTTAAGAAATTCAGTGATCTTTCGGGAAGTTCCAGTAGCTTTAGAAAAGCATCTAAATCTACGGAAAAGTCTTCCAGGGAATTTTAAATACCTTGAAGAACTAGTCATTTGTTTCAGTTCTCAAGTCTTCAACAAAAAGCTGATTACAGTTTCGAGGAATTGAAATCTTTATTAGGGCTAGTTTTAGTTTTAGATTGTGAAGCGTTTTGCACTACACAAAAGAAGGAACAACTTCCCTTAACAGAATACGGTGGGTAAAAAACTTTACGCCGACTACGAAGCCTCCGAAAAACGTGTAACGGCAAGTTTGCAATGGCATAACTTAGCCATTTCTTAATGAATTTCAAAAATTGTGGTACCATTAGAATTCCTAGGGTCTGTAGACAATTTTTAATGTAAAAAGATTGAAAATAGAGTCGTCTACTTTTTTACAAAGCAAAAAGAGTTTTTACACGTTTTTTTTTTAAAGGTGTGTTTATAGGGTTTTGCAAGTGGCGCAAGATCTGTAATTTAGATTAATGGGCACAAGTGTTCACAATTAGCCAGAATACAGTCATGGTTCCTATATATGGACTCTGGAGGCAACGGAGCGGTCCTCGAAAAATCCGGAACATCCGTAAAAGTGGTCAATCCATGAACCTGATCCTAGAGCTCCGCGTTTTTTTTTTTTGAATACATTAGGCACTGTGATATAAACAGGTATTTGGGGTCGTGACATAAACATGGAGATAAATGGCCATGGGACCGTCCTCCGGAAGATCCAGAACATCCGTAAAAGTGGACAATCCACGAAACTGATCATAGAGCTCCACGTTTTTTTTAGCATTAAGAACTGTGATATATGAATGAATTTGGGTCATGGACCCAGATGGCTATCCATATGAAGTCCAGCGGAAGATTCGAAACATCCGTGAAAGTGGAAAATTCACGAAACTGATCCTAGAGCTCCGTGGTTTTCTTGAAAACGTTCGGAACTGTGATATTAGAATGAATTTGGGATCGTGATATTAGCATTGACCCAGATGGCCATCGGACCGTCCTCCGGAAGATCCGAAAAATCCGTAAAAGTGGTTAACGTATGGAACTGATCCTTGAGCTCCACGGTTTTTTTTTTTCGAAAACAATTGGAACTGTCCTACATAAATTAATTTGCGGTCGTGACATAAACATGTACCTTGAAGGCCATGGGACCGTCCTCTGCAAGATCTGGAACATCTTTAAAAATGGTCAATCCTCGAAACTGATCCTAGAGTTCTACGTTTTTTTTTTGAAAGCATGTGGAACTGTGGTATAAGAAAGAATTTTGGGTCAAGACATAAACATGGACCCAAATGGCCATGAGGCCACAACCAAGTGAGCTATTAAAATACGGTGGTGAAGCACTGGCTAGAGCGCTGTACTGGGTAATTGCCGATATTTGGGAGGAGAAGGTATTACCGGAGGAGTGGATGAAATGTGTCGTATGCCCAATCTTCAAAAAGGGCGACAAGTTGGATTGCTGCAACTACCGGGCGATCACACTGCTGAGCACCGCCTACAAGATACTCTCCCAATTTTTATGCCGTTGCCTGTCACTGACGCGATTGCTCAAAGCGACGATGGATCGAGTGATGTGCGTTGTTAGAGTATCGGGGAGGGACACTCTCGAGTCCTTTTGAATATCGAAGGGGGTTACGGCAAGGTGATGGACTTTCGTGTTTGCTATTCAACATCGCGTTGGAAGGTGTGATCAGAAGAGCTGGGATAGACACGAGTGGCACGATCTTCAGGAAGTCCATCCAGCTTCTTGGCATCGCCGATGACATCGACATCATGGCACGAAACTTTGAGACTATGGCGGAAACGTACATCATACTGAAAGCTGAAGCTAGGCGGATTGGACTTGCCATCAACGCATCAAAGACAAAATACATGAAGAGGTTTTAGGGAAGTCAATGTTGCGGTGACGAAATTGAGGTGGTCGATGAGTTCGTGGAGGAGGCGAGGCGGAACGTGGAGGAGGCGAATAAACCACGAATTGCACCAGCTGCTGGGAGAAACATCCATCGTCACATTGCAAAAAATTGGTGACTACGGTGGGCTGTGCATGTCGTAAGAATGCCGTATGACGACCCAGTGAAAATGGTCCTCGAAAGCGATCCAACAGGAACAAGAAGAAGAGGCGCGCAGCGGGCAAGGTGGATCGACCAAGTAGAAGGCGACCAGCATACCCTTCGCAGACTACGAGGCTGGTGAAGTGTGGCCATGGATCGAGTAGAGTGGGGACGACTTCTTCGGACAGCAGAGGACAACAAGGCAGCAGAGGACAACAAGGCCTTAGCCAAGTAAGCAAGCCATAAAATTGATCCAAGAGTTCCACGGTTTTTTTTTTTCGAAAAATGAAAAAAATTGGGCTCGAGACATCAACATGAACCTGGATGGCCATTGGACCGTCCTCCAAAAGATCCGGTTCATCCGTAAAAATGGATCATCCATGAAACTGTGAAAAAATCCCAGTTTTTTTCTAAATCTCTTGGAACTGCGATTTAAGATAGAATTTAGGGTCGTGACATACACATGGATCCGGATGGCCATGATCCGGAACATCCGTAAATTTGTCAATCTGTGAAACTGATCCTAGAGCTCTGCAGTTTTTTTAAACACTGTGATATAAGAAACCACTGGACCACTTTTACGGATTTCCCGTATCTGCCGGAGGACCGTCCCGGGGTCTCCAGGATCCATGCATATGAACCATGAAGGTATTGTAACTATTTATGAACATTTGTGCCCATTAATGTAGATTATACACCTTAATCCATTTGCAAAACCCATAAACACACTTAAAAATAAAACGTGTAACGACTCTTTTCACATTTTGAAAAAGAAGACGACTCTATTTCAACGTTTTTAGAATCAAAATAATCTACAGACCCTAGGAATTCTAGAGATACCTCAATTTTTGAAATTCATCAAGAAATGGCTAAGTTATGCCATTGCAAACTTGCCGTTACACGTTTTTCGAAAGCATCGTACTCGGAGTGTTAAGAAGGCCAAATTAAAAGACCGAAACATACGATAATTAAGTTTTAATGCGAGTTGATTGCAGACAAGTTTTTTGACGTAGACTACGTCTTACGGGAAGGTACTGGGGTAAATCGAAAATCTAAAATGGCGACCGTCACGAAAAGGTGTAAGGTTTGACCGTTTATAACTTTGTCATTTAAAGATGAAATTAAAATCGAAATACAACAATCCATGGGAAATAACTGTTACATGAAATAAACGTTCTCCCCGAACCCAGTCGTCATAATCGAGTACCACTCGGTTACACATCTCTCTACTTGAATCTGAAAAGTTATAAAACAGCGCTGCTGTCATGACCAGGGTTACCACAATACAAATCTATTTTTCTACAGATTTTTCAGAGTTTTTAAAACCAAGATTCTGTATTCACAGATTTTAGCAGATTACACAGATTTTTAAAATATGATAAAACATTTAAAAAATTAAACTTTAGATGTTTCATGAAAAAACATAATTTGCACTTCAGTGTAATTTTATCATAACTAACTTTTATATCTATGCATGTTTTTTTTTGCGGAATGGAAAAAGAGAACGATAAATGTCAGAGGTATTAATTTTTTGCCAAACCATAAGTAATTTATTATACACATATGTTTATCTATTTTTTGTCTCTGTCAGAAAAATGGCTCAATCACTTTCCAATGTCCCTTGGAAGGATTCAATTAATAAATTATCAACACAGATATTATCACAGATTTTCTGGACAAAAACTAAGATGCAAAGATTTTTTTTTTGGACAAAAACACAGATTTCCTTTTGGCAACCCTGGTTCCAACACTATGATTGAATGTAATTAATCTTGAATGATAATAATTTGGAATTACGGTTATTGGAAATTATTGAAACGTAAAAGTCTGAAGAGTGGAGGAGCTGAACAAATCGTTACTGAATTTAGTGAAGCACTGAATCTTCTGCCACCACAGCATTCAGCCGAATACTTAAGCAGAATATCGAAATTTGCAGTCTAAAAATATTGCCCAAACGCCTTGTCGACCTTGTTAGGTGAGAAATAGCCGAATATCAGTAAACATTTTAGAGTAATTGCTGTATAGCACCATTTGGTCATATGCAGTTCTCTCGCCCACAGTAATCACACCCGGATATGTTCCAAATACTTTCGGGGAAGTACCCAGAATATGACATGAGCCACAATCTCACATACTACACATGAAATCACCTGAGAATTTAAAATAAAGATACATTCATATGCTTAAACGTCAGTCATGGCAATACGTTCCTACTATTATCTGCAACAATTATGGCATATATGGATTCCTGGAACACACCATAATAAGAAGAATAGCAATGATTGGTACATATTCCCAACACTTCGTTGCTCAATTTGCTCACATTTTACTGTACGTCATTATATACAATACCACCTACAACATGTTAAACCTACCTACTAAACGTAATCCATTGTCGATTCCACTTGCAGACACTTCACAAGGGAAGCACTGCCACGTGCTGATAACTATAGAAACATCCTGTCCTTCCAGGCAAACAATCGACCAACGCTAGACGAACTCCACCATGCATCCATCACCAACAAGGTAAGTCCATATCAAATGGGTTTATAATAACAATAATAGGTAATAATATCTATAACACTGACATTGAAAGCATAGTACCTATACATATACTTATACACTATACACTATACAACGTGAATTAAACAAACGACTCAAACAAGCGACCTTCTCAGAAATTCTTCGAAACACTGTTATGGAATAAATCATCATCGAAAGATTGCTCCTGTTGGAAAATTGCTAATTGAAACACTGAAAAGGTTTTCTCTAATTATTGGACCGGAATCAACTCTGTTCGTTCCAAAATAAAAAATAATAAGAAGAAAACTAACAGCCCAACACAACAATTAAACCATTACCCTCATCCCATTTCTAGTTGACCCGTACCTATGTGTATAACATAGGGACCAACGGCGATGACTACGACGACGACACCCGTCGACACGACGTGACCTGCGACCCATTCATTAATTGGTAAAAATTACTCCGTCCATCCATCCATCCCATCCATTCATTCACCCATGCATGGAGCGAATTTTTGCACTCAATGGCCACCTCGGAGAGCAACGACGATTGGGAAAGGTTAATTGGCATTAAAGTTGACACACGGTATGGTGTGATGGATGAACATTACTGGATACATATGTCATCGTGCTCTATTTTACGAGCACCAGGAAGCTTAGTTTAATTCTCCACGATGAATCATCAATTGTAGTATTTTCGGCGGAATGCTTGTGATGGTTAGTAATGATGGCGTAGTGAGTGCTCTTCAATTGGACTCATCGTGTGAGCGAGTTTTCTCAGTTGAGAAGGTTTTCCTCAGTTCATCTGTCTGCACCCCAACGTGTTTCGAGTTCAGCAGTATCATTGCATGTTTCTATATATTTTATGAAAAGCACAACTATACAAAACTAATGATCAGAGACATGAAGATATAAGTGTTATTTCCATATACAGTGTATCTCAAAATTGATCGTACACCCTAGAGGACAATTTTTGAAACATGGTGAACAGATATATAATTTTTAAATCGTGGCTGGTGATTGAACAGATGTTAATTGATTTATTGCTATAGTTTTGGTCTTTATTGGAAGAGCCTGTATGAAGTTAGATTTATTTTAGTAAAGCTCGATTTTCAACTTTTTACCTAGTTGAAGAATTTTAGTAAAATTAGGGCCCATGCATTAATTATGTCACGCTAAATAGAGCAAGAAATTAACCCCTCCCCCCTATCGTGACGTTTTTTCTATACCTAATGCATTGCTTGTCAACAAATCTTTGAACCCCCCCCCTCCCCCTCCCTTAGAGCGTGACATAATATATGCATCAACCCTTAGTGGCATATGAATGATTCTTACTACGACTAAAAATGAGCAAAATTTTAAGAAGTTATGATCATATTATTTCAAGAAAATAAAGTTTTTCATTAAAAAGTGTGTTTATTTTTGTTGTTCTTAAATTGCTCTAACTTTTTGTAAAATCAACCAAATATGCCTAATACTGAGACAATAACTGATAAATGTATGCTGAGTCAGCTGCCAAAAATTTGAGACGTATCTTTTTAACTTGTGCTTCTAGAAACGTTTTTCTAAAATTTAAATGCAGCTGTACGATCAATTTTGAGCTACACTGCATCAGCCAAATTTGATGCTGAATTCGATGCAATTAAAGGGCTTTGAAAATATTGCGCATTTTCTACTGAACTGCGAATAGACTGCAAACAAGGGAAAATTCGTTCACTCGGGCGAGCACCACAGGAACACAATAGCGATCCTCACCTACAAACAAATTGCCGAACGAGTATAAATTCTTCCAACCAAGTGGCTCATCCAGGTAGACTCGGAACTGACAGCAGTAGACGGAATGAAGGATAAACTGAAAGACAGCCGAACAATTTTTTCTACCGAGGGAGAACCCGATCGAATGCGGAAAAAATGAACGCTAACGATTTAAATAGCCAAGTGAGATATTTTTGGCTCATGGATTTAAATCAGTTGAATTGACTATAGTTGTTTTGCGGTATTTTTGTGACGTTTACGTTTATGTGTTACAGCATAATACTTTTCACCATGCTGATACCAATTCAAATCTATTAATTTATATATAAATATAGAAAATAATAGTAATATTACACCATATTTTTGAAACGATTGAAATGCATCCACTTTGATTGATATCAAAATTAATTTTTTGCTGTGTAGGCGTCCACTTTTTAGTTCTTCGCTTTTTTGTTCAGCTGAAATAGTCATAAGCATTACTTGCGATCAAGAGTTAATGAACAATAAACCAAGCATCCTATTACACTAGCAACCCTGCAACTTTATGATGCCATCATAATGTTCAGCAAGGTCAGGAATCACATAACATATGTGGAGCTTTATGCAAAATAACTGACTAAAAGTTGACCCCTTTTTTGTTTTCCCTCATTGGAGAATCAAAGCAAAGCCAAAACTGGTCATGCGACACCTAGTTTTAAGATCCCCAATCACAAAAATGATGATGTACTAAACAAAATGTCATACAATTTGACAGATATCAAAACGTCATTACCGTAAAACGGGGTATATTTGAAAATGCGGGTAACTTTGATAGTATAATATAAAGATAAAATTCACTCGCTGCGCTTTTTCCAAATTAGATAAATTGGTTCCATATTGTAGCTAAGGGTATTTCCGTTGATATCGTATATAGTTCTTATATAGTATGTGTGCCGTCGAAACTGGAATCTCCGCTGGCAGAATCAAAAACCTCCACCAAAATTGTGCAGAACATCTTCCGCTGGCGCTGAGAATGCGAGAAAACTCCGTAAAACTTCCTTGGAACCTCCGCTGGCAGCATCATAAATCGCCACCGAAATCGTATGGAACCTCGCCCGCCATGATCGCAAGAAAACGCCATAGAAATTCCTTTTTTTTTATGTAATTGTAATATATTTATATTATAATATTACAATTACATAAAAAAAAATGTGGAATTTCGATTGATACTGCCAGCTTAGGGTCCAGGGAAGTTTAACGAAGTTTTCTCGCGTTCTCAGCGAATCAAATTCTGCATGATTTCAAAGACGATTCTAACAGCTGCCAACGAAGGTTCTAGGTTCTAGGAACTTTGTCTTGTTCTGATAAAGTATTCATCCACCAGGATTACGTTTGACTTGGTTTGACTAAATAAAATACATTGGGGTTACATTTAGTCTGTTGATGTTGACAAATAAATATTATTTTATATTTATTTTTTTTAATTATTATTATTTTTATTATAGTCACTTTAACACTCTTGGGTCATTCGTGACTTGTCCGGAGGTGAGATTTGAACTCGTAACTTTGGCATGAGAGAAATATTATTTATTTTATAAGCCCCAATGTATTTTATTAAGTCAAACGTAATCCTGGTGGATGAACCCTTTATCAGAACAAGGCAAAGTTCCTAGAACCTTCGTTGGCAGCTGCTAGAATCGCCTTTGAAATCATGCAGAATATAACTCGCCGAGAAGGCACAATAAACCGTTGAAACTTTCAGGAACTCCAGCTGGCAGCATCCAAAATGACCGAAATCTCGCGGAACTTCGTCAATCGATAACGTGAGAAAATGGTTGGAGCCTCCGTCTGCAGCATCCAATCTCTTCGCTGGTATTGTGCAAAACCTCTTTCGCCGACAATGCGTGGAAACTTCGTCGAAAGTCTTTGGGAACCTTCGTTGGCAGCATCTGAATTTTCGAGGGAAGTTTCGACGGAGTTTTAAGATATTCACGGTGGAGTGGTTTTTCATTATCGAACAATTAATCATTTTGTCAAGCTTCTGCATTCATGTTCCATCAGATGTCACTGCTGTTGTTTGCAGCGACATCTATCGGAAACTACACACAATCTGTTTTACTATAATTGTTCACAGAGGACACTGCAGTGCAAACCATGTCTGGTACCTCTATATATGCATTTAGATTATTATTCAAAGTCCCTCCTTTTTTACACTTCTGCACACAAAATAGCTCACCCCTCACAGAGTTTCCCGCCGAATTTTATGTATGGGGCGGGGCATAAAGTATCTTTTGCGCAGAATATGTAAAAAAGGAGGGACTTCAAATGTTAAAGCAAATGCATATATAGAGGAACCAGACATGTTTTGTAGTGTCAGGTACTCTATTTTGTAATCTGTGAAAGGGAAATCACAAATCGAGTGTCAACAAAATACATGGCATGTTGAGAGATTGAAGTCGTGAGAGCAAATTTTCTCTCTCGAATTTGAATTTTTTGGCTCTCTGGGAACTGGTAGTCAAGCAGGTAAAACTGTATGGGGAAAAATCATTTTTATTTAATTGTAGCTTGTTTAACAATAATTTCCGGGACAAAACTGAACGACAAAGCCCCTGATTAATTTCTTTAGGTTGTCGTTCACTTTTTTTGACCTGAATATGGACCGAAAGCGAATTATTCCCACTTCTCTCAATTTCTATATGGGGATTTTTATCACTTCCTACCAGCGGAACAGCGCCATCTCTGTGGAAAATGGTCGAACAAAATGATTAATTCGTGGAAAAAGTCATTGTTTACATTTGCGACATTGGCTCTTATGAAAGAAAAGCAGGTATATATTAGAGTCGGTGTATAATGAGTCACGCCAAAAGTGAAGCCAAGTCTACCTATTGAACCGTCAAACCGGCTACCTATCGGACAAAGTAAACAATCATTACGATGCTATGACGGATCGATCTTAAATTTGACTCCAGAATCGATCCACTGATTAAATGGTACCAAAGAATCAATCTTTGGTAGATCGATCTTTTTACTTTTATTTTAATACGCTTGTTTACGTTGGTACCTCAAGACATTATTTCCTTTATACTATTCCATTAAAAGTTGTCGTGATGGTAAGGGGCAATGAGCACAGGAGGGAGATAGCACAAACCTTCAAATGTTGCTGAATTCGTAAATATCGGAAAGGCAAATAGTGACGTCATTATAGGGAGCTGATACGCAGTGGTGAGAGCAAATCGTTTTTCGATGTAAATACACTCAGGTCTTTTT